GTTCTGAAACAGCGCGGCTGTGTGCGGTCACTGGACCGAGGCCGAACGAACCGAGCTGAACCGTAAAGCTGCTGCCAGGGTGGAGAGTAGTTGTCGCTCCGGWTTAAAAYGTTCAYGGTTCTGTTCCCCCTCGGAAAACTTGTGCATGACAACTTTGCACTTAGCTGCAACTCTGTTTCTGATGAAAATAGAAAGTTCTACCGACATTCTTGCTAACTTGTCAGCGCAGCATGTTGTTGTGATCATGTGAGCTCTACAAGCCGGATCCAAGCGCTGCTGGATAGAAACACTGGAGTGGAGTCAGTGAACTGCTGGAACGGACTGCTAATATCGGAGCGCTTAAATCGGACATTTTTTATGCAGGCCGATAAAATCCGATACTCATTTTTTGGCTGATATCGGACCGATATCCGATATCAATATCGGATTGGGACACCCCTAGAAATTGGTACTGGAAAGTCCTTGAAAGGTCCTTGAATTTGATGTTGACCAAGGTGTGGGAACCCTGTGGGCAAGTTTCTGAGGTATTTTTTTGGCTGCTGCCATTACCTGGTTACAGGTACCTGTTGTAGCAGGGTGAGTTCCCCACACAGATGGGGAAAAAGACTTGAAACTAACACTTGCTAAAACAGTAACATCCTCAAAAAAATATGGAGCTTAGTGTTAAGTTTAGGGCAGAACAATACCCCAGCGATTGTTTATCTGGGGAACAACTTTTCTGTAAGTTTTATTAGCACAAGATGGGCTGGATGCGTAAGAATGAAAGTGAAGACCACTTCCTGTTTGAGTCACAACAGAAATTGAGAGGAGTAGCGAGCTGAGTGAGTCACATGCCTGCAAACTCCTGAAAACTCATATTTGAGGCATTAGTTTGTCCAAGATTTTGTTGCTGTGTGCGTTTGTTTCTTTGTTTTTTGATTAAGCACTGCAAACGGGGGACTCTTTTCAAAAGGCAAGTGTGCACAAACTGTTGCTATTTTTAGGTTTTATGTTTGTTTATGATACATATTTAGTATTAAGTTAAATTCTAAAACAATTCTTTTTAAAAATAGGATGACTTTTAATGTGAAATTTTGTTTACACAAAGAACATTTTTTGTTCTTAAAAAAGACATAAATACTTTTAATTTAAATACCTTGCAACAGCATTTAATGTTCTGCTGAACCACAGCAAATTATTAGTGAAAGAGAAATGACAGCCATTAATCTTTTAATTCTGTGGATATTTATTTGTTAAATTAAATAATTATATTTTAATCACTCTATAATTGCACACTTTTGTTGATGGATATGGTTAGAATGGAAATGTGGAATTTAGAAAAAAATGGAAAAAATTGAATTTGGGGAAAGAAATGAAATTTGGGAAAAATGAAAACCGATTTTAAAGGGTCCTAATCAGTACAAAACATTTAGTGTCCTTTTTAGAGCTTATGTAGTGATCAAGACTTCACTCTACCATAATAGATGGTAGTTTGCTGCCATGTAGACTCAAAGACTACTGTGAGACAGTTGCAACATATTAAATATTGACTCTGGCAGAAAAGATGTTCTGTTGTTTATCAGCTCTCTTATGATGGTAATGAGTGACTGAACCAAAAACTAATCAATCAAACTGTTCTATCAGGAGCAGTGATCTAAAGGCACCTTCTCAGAATAAATCCACAAAATGACCCTAAAGACCACTCTGTTTGCCTCTGACCATTCATAAACCATAGGTGGAGTCAGACGTCCTGCATTGATGTGAGATGTGAGCTTTCAGAAATGAAGCAAGCATCAAAACCAAGAGCTGTGGAGCAGAACTCAGCTGTCTTGAAATGATTGTTTTTAAAATATTCTCTGTTTCTTATAATTGCCGTCAGCTGCTTACGTAGTTTGTGGAAGTTTACAAAATTTACCCAGAGTAAAAAATACAAAAAAWAAAAAAACAAAACTTGAAGATAGACAGGGCACCCTAAGGTGTCACCAGCTGATATGCCCTCTAGCTGTTTTAGTAATTTTCTTTGCTGGTAACAATTTTCTGTTTATTACATATTTTGGTGACATACAAACCTACAGTTTGTCATCAGTCTTTCTTGGTAATGAATGTGTGTTGTTTTAATCCTGTAGCTGGTTGGTCACACGGATGTCATCATTTCATCACAATGTAGAACTGTAAAGCTGGCTTACCTTTTCACATGTCATTTCAGCTCTGTTGCTATGTTGCTTCAAAGCACAAAAATGAATCTGGATGAGTTTGCATCAGTCCACCATGCTGCCAAGTCCAAGCTTGAAGTGTTGTGTGACTGTCTTTAAGTGTAGATATTCATTTGGACTCTGATTTAAATTGTGTAGTTATTAGGGATGACATATCGTGATAAAGCAAATAAGCTTGATGAACAACTTGATAAACTAAAAGAAACTTGCCATGCAGCGATATGAGTAAACAGGAAACCTGCTGTACTCATCATCATGATAAACTAATGAAGCTTGTTCAACAACAACCACAAGGTAAACTAACAAATAAAGCTTAATAAACAATATTATGTAACTTAGGGTTGTCCCGATACAAATTTCATTTCCAATTCGATACCGATATTGCAACTTTGAGAATTGGCCGATACCGATATTGACTCGATACCATATCAATACAAATCACACACTTTTACCTATTTTGTAGTGTGAAATCTTAAAAAGTTTTGATCAAGTCAAACAGTGAAAAAGAGTATGTATGAGAAAAATTGACCCATTTATTTTTAACCAATGGATCACATACATTTTAAACTGAAGAACATTCTGCAATTTAAAAAATAAATTAGAATACCCTGAAAAATAAAACATAAAAAAACAAAATGTACTTTTAAAGTGTAAAATAATTCAAAATCACTCGTTATTTTTTTTACCATCTGTCAGCCTTGTGCTGCTTTATGGTGGAAAAAACTGAAGGTGGGGACAAAAGAAAACCACACATTATTGTCCAATGTCCATCTGTTCAAAGTTAAGAGTCCACAGCTCCAATTTTACTGACTGTGCTCAAAACAACATGATCATTGCACTTAATCTTCACTAAAACAAGTGTGTAAACAGATTAAACATCACTAATAACAAGCAAAAAATAAATAGGAAGAATTAGTCAGTTATTTTAATTAATAGTTACCTTTCCTGCTGCATTTCCACTTTCTACAGTCTGAGCTTCATGTGGAGATCAGCCTCTCTCTCRTTAGAGCACAGTTTTATCACTGCTCTCGCCATGTCGCGCTCGTATCCAAATCACAAGCTGCGCTCTCCTTTCTTCTGTCCATCAATCCCAGAGCTAATCCACAGGAAGCATTCTGCTGGTGTCAAAACCGTAAGCGTGCCGTCCTCCCTTCTGCCCACTTACAACCACCAACCGGACCAGAGAGGAGGTTCTGAAACTAGAACCATGGAGACACACTGGACCAAAGCCGAACCGAGCCGAACCACATAGTTGCTGCCAGGGTGGAAAGTAGAGCCTGGTTGTCTCTCTGGTTTAAAACGTTCACGGTTCTGTTCCTCCACGGAAAACTTGTTCAACTCTGTTTTTGATGAAAATAAAGTACTGCCGACATTGCTCCTACTTCTTGCTACTTTGTTAGTGCAGCATGTTGTTGTGATCACGTGGGCTCTGCATGCTGGATCCAAGYRCTGCTGGATAGAAACGCTGGAGCAGACTGCTTATATCAGAGYGCTTTTATCTGACATTTTTTATGCAGGCCGATAAAATCCGATACTCGTTTTTTGACTGATATCGGACCGATATCCTTATCGGATCGGGACACCCCTAAAGGTAAACTAACAAATAAAGCTTAATAAAGAACAATATTATGTAAACTACAATAAGAGGCTTGGTGTGCAGCAGTAGGATAATCGAGTGTACCGTGTTTCTTTGTAAYGCTGCAGTGTATTCATGTTAATGTTCAGTGCCATGCTTCAGTGTTTGCTACATGACTACCACTATGGCTTTGCAGAAGCATCACATGGGCAGCATAAATTTAGCATGAAACAATTCAGTTTTCCTTTTATTAGTTCAATCAGCACTTCAAGACCAGAGTTGCTGAATCAGCTGATGTAGTGACAGGAGTTAAACTGAAAGGGGGACTTGGGGGGGCTGGCTAAACGGTATATTAACTGTGTGTTGTTCTCATTGCCACTGCAGCCGCCAATCTGTGATGGCTTTTGGCCAAAGCTGGCTGGCAGATGATGATGGTTATGATACATCTACACCCTACTACCACAGCTCAGTATATGGTTGGTATAATGGGTTTGTATGATGGGTAAGATTTCTTTCCACCCTCCATCTCCTACATAGGAAAGTGGAGCTATGTTCAATGGGTAAAGCGTCTTCTTGCAGCTCCTAAAGAGATTTTGATCAGTTGACTGCAACCTGGGTTTTAGGCTTTGGCCATTGAACGCTCCCCTGTCCACTAGTCTCTCAGATATTGCCCAGTGATTCTGCCCCTTGTGTTTAAGCCACCACGGGTTAATGAGAGCTCACGCTTTGCAACACAGAAGTTTGAGATCTGTAGGTTTGGTTAGAAATCAGAGTGCAGAGGAAAGTACTTACAAAAACAACCTTTTGCTTTAAGACTCTCAGACTTCTCTAAAGAAGGTATCTACAGGCTGTAGAGAGAAATAGTTTTGTTTTTTTTCTGGCAGGACATTGTTAGGTCACTACAGAGTACACCAGGACTCTGAGGGTTAAAAAAAAGTTAGTCCCACTCTGGAACCGTTATACAAAGTGTATAAAAAATCCATCTGTTGATGTCATCGACAAGGTAAGATCAGTGGTTCTGTACAAAAGCTGTAGAAAAGGTCTTACAAGAGGCTGTCAGTGGGAATAAATAAATAAATAAATGGTTAAGTTTCCCTGTTGGTTGGTTAAATGCAACTCGCCAACTGAATCTAGTATTTTTCTGAGCTGGCTTTGATAGAAGAGGCAGATGAGGGGAATTTCTTGGTAAATCAGTGAAATGGACTTCTCATGCAATATTTACTACATTACTAAGTAGACACACTCCACTCTAGCTTTAGAAATAAGTTCACGAGAGTAAGCTATATGTTCACATTAAACCCTGCAGTAAAACTGATGTCAGTAAATAAGTTATTGACTGAAGCTGTGACATCTCAGGCCAGTGTTAGGAACATGATTTTACTGAGTTGTGATAAGACAACTCTTAGCGCAGATCTGTTTTGTTTAGTGTTTTCCCCTTCTGTTTTTTTATTTTCTTTTTTTCTTTTTTTCTTTTGGGTTGTTTAATTTCTAAAATTATTTTTATTTTATTTTGTTTTTTCAGTTGGTCAGTTTTGGTGGGGCTGTTGGGGGTTTGGTAAGGCCCTTGGGTGGGTTGTTGTTATGTTTGGCAAACGCAGGAAGTTGAGGGGTGATGGTAAGGCCCCTGGTGGTTGTGATGGTACTCTGGTTCAGAGGACATTGGTAAGGCTCTGTTACTGGGATAGACTTGAAGCTTATGGCAGGACTGTCAAGTGTGCCATGAGGGAGGGATCATGGTAAGGCCCTCTGACTTCATGGTTTGACTTAAATAAATCAAAACCTTTTGGGAATCATCACTTCATCTAATTATTTTGGTCAGGATTGCCATGAACTGGTCAGGTAGAGATGAACTGGATGTCTGGTTAATTTGTAAGTGGGAATGTCTGAATATTCACAGATGAATAATAAATATAATAAATAAATACTGATGTTTCTGAAACATCTTTCTGTTCATCACCGCTGTTTCTTTAGGATAAGTCTTTTACAGTCAACTAGGTAAACACTAATTAAACTTTTAACGCTGCTAGGTAGTTATACATCTTGTTTTTATCACCCTGATTAGAGTGTAGTATACCTCGTGTAGAAGTAATAATTAACATACAGTAAAATCTATCTTGAAACATCATTTACAGAAATCAGCAGTGACTCAAGTAAATAGGTCACAATTTGGTTAATTTACAGTATTTAATTTCAAAATAAAGGTCTGATTTAAACATTGGTCAGACCAATTGAAGTTTGAGTTTAAGTCATTTTTCTGCAGATATCCCTTAAGATAACTTTTATGAACCTTTTTTAATGACTACACCAAACTTTTAAACAAGTCTCAGTAAATGTAGACAAAGAAAAGAAGTGGTACCTGGATATTTAAGTAAGGTATGAATTACTCATCGGGTGGAAGGATGTCTACTCCCGTTATCCTTCGGCTTTTGCCCAGAGAGCAGCCATCTCGGCTTCATCTGCTCCTGGTCAGTATAATAATGCACCGTTTCTTTTTTCTCCCTTGCCCACATTGAGGATGATGTTCTTGTGTCTCATGTCTGTCGTCCCTCTCTCCCCTCTTCTACAGCGGCCTACAAGCACGCAGACGGAAAGAAGATTGATGGCAGGAGGGTGTTGGTGGATGTAGAAAGAGGACGCACTGTGAAAGGATGGCGTCCTCGGAGGCTAGGTCAGCTGCTGCTTTTCTTCACCTTTTTTTATCTTGTTAGCAAAACAAAAACTAGGCCGACATTTATTAAAACTTTCACAATCATTAGATGGACATGTAGGACTGGTTTAACTTCTGGAGTCGACCCAATTCAAGATGGCAACACAAATAACCACAACTGTTATTTCAGATTGTAAGATGGTCTTAGTGTAAAATTCTGACAAACTTTGGTGGGACAGTGCATACTTCAGATCAGGGGTGTCAAAACTCGTTTTCACCAAGTGCCACATGAGCATCATGGTTGTAATTAACTTTGATGTTGTGTATTTAAATTCAACTAAACACAAAACGTCAGGTGCCTCGTGTCATTGCTACGGCTGAGCACAGCTAACAAGACGTGGCATTTCCTGCATAGAAACATCGTTTTAACCCGTTTAAATTTATGACTTGTAAGTTGGAATCTCCCAGTAGAACTGGGCTGCAGCAAAAAACAAAACAAGCAGGTGAAAATGCTCCACCTGTTTAATCTGTGCGTACTCCGGCGGAGTGACAATCATTATATTCGCACTTTGGAGTGCGCGCGCATTCGGCCGTGCGTCGTCGCGCTATGACCACAGGAGAAATGAGGTCCAGACTGATTTTTGTGCGTCCCACCAGAGCACTGACTTCACCTACACTGACAGTCGCCTCGCTGAGTGGAAATGAATGGAGAGCGAGCGACGTCGCCTCCCATGTGTCGAGCCCTTCACACATGCCACGGCGCGCGCTCCTCCCGCAGCAGGCAGTGTGGTCGGTCGGCATCCGACCGGAGGACGCGCCGTCACGTAAATATGTAAACAGTTCTGCGTTCATTTTCGCACACCCGAACCAGGTCTAGATAAGTTTTTTTTCCCCTCTTCATTTGCGCTCTCAGCCAGGCTGCTTCCCACTTCCTCTGTTTTGACTCCAGCCGGTTACATCATCAAAAAGAATTGCACGGCTGGCTGGTAGACTACAGATCTCTATCATAGGACAAATTTATATCGTTTCTACCGTATATCGTTTATATCGTCCTATAATACACATGATTTTACCCATTTTGTCTCATAACTGGCATATTTTCTCTTGAATTTGGCTCAGCAAAGTGAAACAGGAAGTGACATCAAAGGGGAACTCATAAAGAAAAGAAACTCTGTAGTCTTTATTTATTGAAACAATCTTATTTAAACTCTTCTTCGACTCTGATAGTGACTCAAAATAATCTAAAGAAAGATCAGATTCTTCTCTAATTATTGTAGCATCGCTCTGTTTACATACAGGTATTCCCCTTTGATATCACTTCCTGTTTCTTTACATGCAAATATGTCAACAACTGTTCATCTCAACAGTGTGAAATTTGTTTTTGCAATATGTTATCAATGTTCTCTTTCCAAAAAAACGCATTCACATTTTTTACAAAAATTTGATGTCACAGGTACTTTAAAGCTGCTTATTTTTAGACATTGATACATTTTTGAAACACTTGCAGGCCACATAAAAGGCTGTGGTGGACCACATTTGGCCCGCGGGCCTTGAACAGTGGAGACACTTAATTTAAAAGAATACTAGGCCTTTGATTCTGAATCTGTTTTTCTTCCCACATGTTATCAGCCTTGTCATACAGATTTTAGTTGATTAGCAACACAAAGCAGTTTTTTAAATCAATATTCAGTAGAAAAGTTTTAACAATTTAAGATAAAGAAAATAAATGACCAAACGTTTAAGTCCTGTGATGTTGCTCTGAGTTTGACTCTGACATGTCTCCAGTGGGCTGGAGCAGGTTGGGATGGGTACTGAATTAGATACTTTTTGATGTACAGACCGAATTCTGTTGGTACTACCGAGTATCTATTCACGTAACATCAAACAGTACCATGTTTCAGTACCTAAACGCATCATTGAGACCGGTTTGGCATAAGAGTTTTCCATGCTTGTCCTGAACGCAGCATCACGCAAAAGCGTAATGACGTCATCAGCCGCTGGTTCACAGAGGCAGAGTTCGGTCTGAAAGTAGCTTGAAAGCCTCGCAGCTCCTGGAGTAAAACTCACCAAACAGATCGCCTCTGAATTATCTGATGGACTAATTATCTTGTGAACACGACGTTCGCTTGCTCAAAGTAAATAAAGTACCGCCACTTTCTTTATTTCATCCACCATTAAACAGAGAACGGCAGAGGAAAATAATAGAGGCGCTTCCTGACAGTCCRAACACGTCTGACCTGAAGGAGCACAAGCAGTCAACAAGTGTTGGACGTGTTTTGGATGTTCAAAATGTAGCTTAAATACCTTTTATTTATTTTAACTGCATCCTCTTTTGTTTATTTCATTTAAACATATTTGCCTTCCATGGACCTCCATCACACATTTTTCTAGTGGGGAAATGACATCAACAGAAATATGTGGAGCTGGATTTTAATTTGTGCAATAAGACAAAACAGTCTTGTTGTTTTCAACAGTTTTTACCTTAAAGAAATAAGTTACACAACTGATGTTACAATACAAAGAGTTGGATGTTGTCTTGATATTTGTTAATTTTTGTATATTGAGAAATATGTACAAAAAAGAAGTTTATTGTTAAAAAAAAAACCAACGCACACAAAGTACCGAAAATTGGCACCGTTAAGTACCGGTACCGATTCCCAGGTACCAGATATTGGTACCAAATTGATTCAAACGTCGAAGGTACCCATCCCTAGGAGCAGGGCAGGTAGTTTTCTACCAGCTGCTTTGTGCTGCTGTTAAACAAGTTGAGCACAGTGGGAGGGTCTGAACTGAATGTCATGTTTGGATGTGTTTTCTTCTCTGATTTCATATTAAACTGAGGCTTTTTATTTAAGAGCTTGTTTAAATAACATTTTGTACTTCCTGCTGCTGCCCTGCCTTAAAATGACAACTAACTTTATCAGTGACTTAGTGTTTACTTGAGACTTTAACACACATGAGTATTCGTATGTGAGTGAAACTACGTTATTAGAAAACATTTCAGTGTTTATTCCACCTGTGTCTTAGTGGACATGTTGTGGTCTGACACAGTCCTTGTCTGACTGTTGACCTTGTGTACCTGTGTGTTGTGCAGGAGGTGGGTTAGGTGGGACAAGGAGAGGCGGAGCTGACGTCAACATCAAACACTCCGGTCGAGATGACGCCTCTCGTTACGATGACCGCTCACTGGGGCCGTGAGTCAATCTTTGCACAACACACCTGTTAGTAAAATATCACCCTCCGCCTGTTGTAACCTCTTTGTTTTGACTCTCAGTGACCGCGGGGACCGCAGGGAGCGAAGCCGGGAACGCGACAGGGACAAGGACCGAGAACGGCGGAGGACCCGCTCTCGCGAAAGGCGCCGTCACTCCCGGGAGAGAGAGAGGGAGAGAGAGCGGCCGGGCGCGGTGGGAGAAGAGGTCAGCAGCAGCAGCAGCCGGCGGCGGGAGCGGGAGCGTGGAGCAGCAGGAGCAGTGGCAGGGACAGGAGACAGCAGGAGCAGGGAAAGAAGTCGAGACAGGAAGAGACGAAGCAGGAGCCGCGACCGTAAAAGAGACAGGGAGAGGGCCAAAGGGGTGGAYGGGGAGGAAGTGGGCCAGGCAGACGGCGTCCCCGAGGGGGGGGAGCGAGTCCTGGGGGAGCAGGAAGGAGAGGTGGGGGAGGGGACGGAGGAGCGTCGAGACCGGGACAGAGAGAAAGACAGGGACAGACGACGCAGCCACAGGGATAGAGACAGGCGCAGGGGGGACAGAGACAGAGACAGGGACAGGGAGCACAAACGGGACAGGGGGGAGCGAGACAGGGGGGAGCGCAGAGAGGAGCGCCACGGCTCCACGAGAGAAGACCTGGGTCCTCAGGTGGAGATGGCCAACGAGGACAACGGAGCCCCGACGCAGGAGGAGTACAGTCAGGACGGCATGACGGACCAGCAGTCCGTCCCGTCGGCTGACGGCTTCGGCTCCGGAGAGAACGGCTTCAAGATGGAGGTTCCAGATGAGTACTGAGGTCCCTCCTGCTCCTCCCACAGAAAAATCACTTGTTTTTCTTTCTCCTGACTTTCTGCCCAAAGCCTTCAGGTCTCAGGTGTTCATGAGGAGTACACTTGTAGTCAGCCGCTCTGTTGGAATCTTTCATTTGCACGTTTTGATTTGGTCTGAAGAAGTGGCAGTTCTCCTGCATCTCCTTATCAACCTGTGCCACTCGATGTGTCCCAACGACTCTGTGGACATTCTTTTTGTTTTTTAATCAGTGTGGTGGTAAAGTTCACTGGAAACAGGAACACAGGAGCTGAGTTCATTCTGAGCAGGTTGATTCAATCAGCAGTTCAAACTGAACTCTGCAACAAGAGATGAAATTCAAACAGGAATGTTAGTGTTGAAGGCTGTTTTTTTTATCTGTTTATAGACGTGCAGGTCATTTTAATAAAGATGTCTCTCCACAGTGAAGCTGTTCTGTTGTTTTCTTCACGTTTAACTGACTGAATGTTGATCTGTCTTTTAGTGAAAAAATCTGAAACACTGAGTGAAGCTCAATCATGGGATGTTTATCCTGATTTAAAATGGCTGCTCATGCTACATAAACGTAAAGTTTTGTACCAACGTGTGGTGGCTGAGAGTCATCCCAACAGACTTATTTTCTATCTTTGTCTACAAGCTGGTGAGCAGTTCAGGACTTTTATTAGATGGATAAAATCAACCTGCTTTCAGAGTGAAATAATTTAGATCCAGTTTGACAAGAAACAGCTGATCTAACGTCCAAATTATGTCAAAAACTTAAATATTTTTACCACCTGAAGCTTGAAATCAGAAGCTAACCTCAGCAGTCATGTTTTTCTTAATTGCTTAATTAAAATTATATACCATTTATCTGAACAGAGCTTAAAGCTTCAGACCTCTGAGGTGATTTATTTGGATTAGAATTTCATTGAGATAATTTTAAACCACATGAAATACTGAGTTTTTAAAAATGAGGTTGTAGTTGAACTGATCCCAGCAGCTGTAGCCTCTGACTGGACCTTGTCATTAAATCAGTCTGGAGGTGAAGGGGACAGCAGGGACCATGTGTTGGTCAGACTGAATAACTTATTCTGATCATTTGGTTTTAACATCACGAACTGGCAACTAGTTCCACTGAAATATGAGATTTTTCTATTGATGTAGATAAAAGTATAAAATATCTAAAAATCACTGGCTTGTCTTTTTAGTTAATAAAATAAAGAGAAACTATAATGAATTTTACATTTGATTGACCCATAACATCTTCCTTAGTCACCAGGAGTAAAGATTTCTTAGTTTTGTGGTGACTTCTGTGTGAATTTCTAATTATTTTTTTTATTTGGGTTTAATGTAGATACATGAGTCTGTTTTAGTTTAGAACAAAAAGTTAAAATGAAGACATTTGTTTAACCTGAAGCACATGAAKGTCTTAACTTTATCAGCATCCTGTGTGATGCTGACCACCCTTCCTGCGTGACGTCACCAGCTATATGATGTGATTTTAATATTACTTTAAAACAAAGTAAATTATTGACCTTTATCCTCTGAAAAATATGAAAGGTGGACATGAAATGTTTATTTAGTTTTTAAATTACATTTCTCATATATATATATATATATATATATATATATATTAGTGCAGATGCTGTAGCTGACCACCCAGTCCATCGCTGCTGCGTCAGGCTGTCCTTCAGTCTCGCGTGTCTCATCATGTCCTCATCAGGGGACATGGACCTATCTGTGTGAGACTCGGTTCGGATCAGCGGGGGTTCTGTCAGACCAGCAGCAGTTCGGACACGGACGGGTTCAGGATGATGTCCTCCTTCTTCCACCCCGCTAAGGAGGCCGACATGGCGGCCACCACAGAACCGCTCTGCCTGGAAAGAGGTAAGGTTCCCTGGGATGGGTCGGAACCAGCCCCGCTGGAGCCGCGGATGATGACATCCTTTGTTGTTATGGGGGCTCGGTTCTGAACCTCAGGCCTGCTGTGGTTCTGTTTTAACATGTGGCTCTGACAGACTGCCTTTRTTACTCATCTACTGGACCGGTTCTGAACCGGATCAGATACGGTGCAGGTGTTCAAACTGGAACAGGACCACTGACTGTTGAGCGCTTCAAGGAAAGAAACGCGTTGTGATCAGGCTGTTGTGTTGTTGTGTTATCAGAACACTACAACAACACGTCCAATGATAAACAGGCTAATATCAGGTTGTTAAATATGTTCTCAGTCTGAAGAAGCAGCAGGTTGGGTTGGATCTGTCATCCTGGTGACAGTGGGAAGAAACCTCCAACAGAACCAGAACCAGGATGGAGTGGACTGGCTGGGATCAGAGAAGTGCTCTGTTAGGGAACAATAAGATCTTTAATACATGATGGAGCTTGGTTGTTAAGAGCTTTGTATGTCAGGAGTAATATTTTAAATTATATTCTGAATTTGATGGAGCCAGTGGAGAGAAACTAAAACTGGAGAAATATGATCTCTCCTTCCAACTCTCAGAACTCCAGCAGCATTTTGGATAAACTTTTAAAACTGTTTTTCGGACACCCAGATAATAAAGAATTACAGTAGTCTTTCATAGACCTTTTCTTATACCCACTTTTTCATTTCTGGGTCAAGGGACACCTGGACAGGTCTCAGTCCCTCACTGGGACACAGAGACACTTACATCCACGCTGCAAACCGAGAAAGAGTTTTAGATTTACACACATTTGTCACGATTTCTACACAGGTCATTTATACATTGTATCAAATCAAACAAACAATCAAATCATTAGTAGCAGATTATATCAAAGATTATTATTGTTCAGATGAAAATCTGTTAAAGATTAAAAGGCTCCACAGCCACGATGACGTTAAATTCATCCTAATGATTTAAAGCAACATGTGTCCATTGAGCAGGACTGAGGGAGCTCACTGTTGGTGACCCTTCACTGACCCACACCTGCTGTTGGTGGTTTTAGATGTTTGCAGGGTGATCGAGCTGCTGGACCGTCTGCAGCGGACCGGGGAGCTGCCTCCTCCCAAACTACAGGCCCTGCAGAGAGTCCTTCAGAGCAAATTCTGCGCCGCCATCAGGGAGGTGAGCACAGTGCCGAGGTGGGGGGTAAAAGTTACAGGTAAAAAACGAACGAGGTTACACTTTACCTTCATGTTTTAAAGGCACAGTGTGAAGGATTTTGTCAATTCATTTAGCCGAAATTGAGATAATCACTAATGACAATAATAAAAAAAAACATGTCT